GGCGTGGTGCCAGACACACACACCCCATACGCGCCGCGATGGTCTTAATCCTACTTGAGCGGCACGGGCTCGAGAAGAGATGGAGTGATGCGGTACAGGAGGACGTGGAGCTAGAGAAGAGATGGAGTGATGTGCTCCAGGAGGACGTGGAGCGGAGTGGACTTGCCGACGACTGGTACCAGCGGTGTCAAGATCGGCCTCTGTGGAGAAGGCTCGTGAAGGGACGCTACTGGGCAGTTGGAGGCAGTCGCCTCCAACAACAACGGAGGGCGGAGGAGCGACGCTCACAACAACGAGCGAAGCGCCGGGTGGATAAATCACAGCAAGTTGGCACAGTCGGGGGCACAGGTGGTGCATCAGCCAGTCATCTCAGTCGGTCGACCCGTGGCACCTGGGTCTGCCCCGTGACCTCCTGCCAGCGGGCGTTCGACACTTCACGTGGCCTCAAGGTGCACATGGCCTGGCACAAGCGTCGTGGTGATGTCACCGCCGCTTAGTGGCGAATGGCGGTTGTTGTTGGTCGTTTATTGGCTTGTATGTCTGTGTGTGCGTGAGCTTGTGTCCGCAAATGGGGAGCGGTAGGGTAGTGTTTAGCGCGCTGCGCTACGAACCCGCCTACCCGGGTTCCACTCCACGACTCCTGGGCCTCCCCTAGGTCGACTCAGCCTCAAATGAGTACCTGTTGCTGTGTGTGAACATCGCCACTGCCTGGCCACCCCCCTTGCGCCGTGCCGCTCTCAACGGGTGCTACTCGCCAGCAGCACTTGCCCCAAGCGTCTGTTGAGGCTATACGGGGCATCTTTGTCCTTGTTTATGTCTGTATGCTGTCACACCTCCCTAAGAATCCCTTTCTCCCGAGCCGACTGCATTCATCCCCCCCTCCCCTCTCTCTACCGCTCCCTTCTCCACCCTCGTTCTGCGGGCGAGTGGGTGACGATGCGACTGGCAGGCGGGCGGGATGACTGAGTGACTGCCGCGTGTGTGACTTTGTAGCTGAGCGTGGAGGTGGCTGCGTGGGTGACTGCGGGGGCGACGTGGATGGTCGAGTGGCTGAGTGGGTGAGCGAGTGTGTGAGTTGGTGGGGTGGGTGAGCGAGTGAGCGAGTGACAGTGTGTCTGATCAGGTCGATGGGTGACTTGGGAGTGGGTGACTATGTTATTTGGTGTGTGTATGTGACCGAGTGAATGACTGTACGGTTACTCGAGTGGTCATCTGGTTTATTTCGTGAGTGAGTGCATGAGTTGCTGGGTGAGCATTGAGTAAGTGAACGGGTGAGTGTGTGAGTGAATGGATGGCTGAGTGAGTGGGTGAGTGGATGGGTGAGCGATTGAGTAAGTGAACGGGTGAGAGGGTGAATGAGTGGATGGCTGAGTGAGTGGGTGAGTGGATGGGTGAGTGAGCGAGTAAATGAATGAGTGAGTGTGTGAATGGATGGCTGAGTGAGTGGGTGAGTGGATGGGTGAGCGATTGAGTAAGTGAACGGGTGAGAGGGTGAGTGAGTGGATGGCTGAGTGAGTGGGTGAGTGGATGGGTGAGCGATTGAGTAAGTGAACGGGTGAGAGGGTGAGTGAGTGGATGGCTGAGTGAGTGGGTGAGTGGATGGGTGAGTGATCGAGTAAGTGAATGGGTTAAAGGGTGAATGAGTGGACGGCTGAGTGAGTGGGTGAGTGGATGGGTGTGTTATCGAGTAAGTTAATGGGCGAGTGTGTGAGTGAGTGGATGGCTGAGTGAGTGCGCGTGTGGCTGGGTGAGTGATTGAGTAATTGGATGAGTGAGTGTGCGAGTGGGGTATGTGGGTAATTCACCGGGATGGTGAACACACTGTGAGCACACTGTGGGGGCCCCCCACTGCTCTTCAATAGGGAGTTAGACGGTGGGGGGGGGGGGGGGGGACGTACCCCCACCTCATCCTCCACAGGATCACCACGCATGTGACAGTAGCCAGCTAGCTGAGTGTGGAAGCTGAGCGCGTGAGTCGCATGCGCGCCGGCTGGTTGTGTTCTTGACGGCTGAGCGAGTGGCAGAATGAATACGCAGGCGCATTGGTGGATGGGTTGTTGAGTGACTGGCTGGTTTGGCGAGTGAGACGGCTACTCTCCGGCTGGCTGTCTTTGTATCTAAGCGCGGCAGGTGGCTTGACTGGGTGAGAGAGTCAATGACTGACCCGTTACCAGTGGGAGTGACCGTCATTACTGGCTGTGCAGTTATTCGGATTTCTACAAATATGTCTCACGTGTCGGTGAGCGAGCGAGCGAGTGGGTGAGTCAGCGAATGAGCGACTACCTCGCCTGGCTGTGTTGATCGCAGGAGTGATGACGGTTGTTTGAGTGACGAGTGGGCGATCGGGTGAAGCGGACCGGTTGTGTTAGCGTTGCCCTGTGGAGCCGTGTTGTTGGTGAGTGTGGGTGGGGTGGGTGGGTGGGCAGGGATTGTCGGCATTGGTGGGAGGGATGTGTTAAGCCCCCCCTCCCCCCGAGTCGTCCTTATCCCCCAACTCCACAACTGCCCCCCACGTCTCCCTCCATACCCCCTCTGCCCCCTCTCTGGCCAAAGTCCCGTGTCTCGCATCCCTCGGGAAAAGGGATTCAGTGAGGTCTGTTGATTGACTCGTGGTTGAGTGCGTGGGTGAGGGAGTGAGGGGTGGGTGACTTCGTGGGTGACTGAATGGACGAGTGGGCGTCGGAGTGACTGGCGGGCGAGTCGACGGGCGAGGGAGTGTCTGGTGAGTGACTAAGTGGATAGGTGACTGGGTCGGTGGGTAGGTGATCGAATGACTGGCCGGTTGGATGTGTGGCTGTACCGTTCACTGGTAGGTGGCTGAGCGAGCGAGTTTATCGGTGCGCCTTCGAGCGGCTGACTTGCGGGGGTGACTGAATGAATGACTGAGTGAGCAAGTAGCTGACTGCCCTGCTACTGCAGTTGCTGCTGTATTGCGTGCGTGGATGGCAATGTCCGTGCTTGCTTGCCTGAGCCGGTCGAGTGGGTGGTGGGTGGGTGGTTGAATTTGCCCTGTGCCTGAGCGACTGCGTTCGTGGTAGCACGGTGGTTGGATGGGCAACGCATTGTCCGCACTGGTGGGAGGCATGTATTCCCTCCACCCCCCACCCCATCACAGTATGACCTCCCCCCCCCCACCACCACCTCCTCTCTCCACCAGCACCACCACCACCCACGCCCCGTCTCCCCTCTCTCCCCATGTCATCCCCGTCTGCACGTGGAATCGCCACAAGCAGCCGCTCGTCGCGGGGGGCACACGAAGCGAGTCGGCGAAGCCACCCAGTGTAAGTCATTCTCTCTCTCTCGCCCTCCAGAGCTCCGTGTGATGTCGCCCCGCGCTGCAAGCACAGCGCGTCGTTCTTTATTTCTCTCTCTCGCTCGCTCGCTTCCTATTTTTTTTCCATCCGTCTCGCATGCCTATTTATTTATTTCACTTAACTTTACTTCCAGCACAATTATCATTTGAACCTTTATACAGTTATTAATGCTTTGTGAGCGCGGGTCTCTGTGTGTGTGCGTGGCTGTGGGCAAGAGTTGATGTTGTTTTGCGCGTGTGTGCGTGGGGGAGCGGTGGTGCAGCGGTTAGCGCGCTGCGCTGCGAACCTGGCGGCCCAAGTTCGTTTCCCGCTCACGGCCAACACCGGTGACAATTTGCCGAACCGGTCCTGGGCCTCCTCCCCTAGGTCGACTCAGCCTTAAATGAGTACCTGGTGCGGTGCGTAAAAACATCGCCGTGGTGCTGGCCACCCACCCCCTCGTGTATCGTTCTGGCCTTCACAGGTGCTACTCGCTAACAACACTTGCCCCAACAGTCTGTTAAGGCTACACGGGATATGTTTTTGTCTTTGTGTTCAAGAGTTGAGCTGTTGTTTTGGGTGTGTGTGTCACTGCGCTACGAACCCGCCGACCCGAGTTCCATTCCTGGTTATGAATGGGCATCCTCCCCTACCAAGGTCGAATTGACCCCTGCGCAAGTTTGCGCAAACATCTGCGCTGGGAAGACAAAGGTGGTACCGGCCTTCATAGTTGCTCGTTAACAGCACTTGCCCAACGGTGTTAGAAAGCTATCCGGGGCTTCTTTGTCTTTGCATGTAATTTAGTTCGTGCTATAAGTACATGTAAAAGTGTACGTGTGTGTGTGTGTACACAGTTTTATGTACACATACGCAGTAACTGTGCGTGCATGTACACGTGCAGCATAAGCTCGTGCGAATGCATTGTGTGTCTCTGCGTAGCTACACGTGGCTGGTGAGTAATATGTCACGATTTGGTTCCTTTTGACTTAAAACTTTCGTGACTGCAGGATTTCATATTCTTGGTTCTTTCGGTAAAGTCACGTGGAGAGAAAAAGTGTTGCGATCGAAACGTCGTGGGGTTTTTTTTTGCTGTTATCATTTAAAAATATTTGAATTTATTTTTAATATTTTTATTTTCTTTTTTTTTACGTGACTTTACCGAAAGAACCAATAATATTTGGTTCCTGGCCCTCCCCTAGGTCGACTCAGCCTCAAATGAGTACCTGGAGTAATGTGTAAACATCGCCACTGGGGAGACAAAGGCGGCCGCGCTCGTTGCCGGCCACCCACCCACCCCCTCGTGTGCCGTGCGGGCATCGGGACGGGGGGGGGGGGGTGGAATCTTTGTCTTTGTCCAAACGTGGGGGGAGCGGTGGCGCAGCGGTTAGCGCACTGCGCCACGGGCGCGTGCGATCTTGAGCCGCCCGCCCGCCCCCACGCCGCTCACGGGTCTTCGAGACACCTCCCACGCTCACCGGCGTGGGGAAGTATGGCCAAACGACAACACCCTCGACAACCGAGCGGCCGTGGGAAGTCGGAGGCATTCGCCAAGTGCGCAAGCATCACCACTGGGGAGACAAAGGCGGCCGGGCGTGGTGCCAGACACACCACACCCCCATACGCGCCGCGATGGTCTTAATACTACTTGAGCGGCACGGGCTAGAGAAGAGATGGAGTGATGTGGTACAGGAGGACGTGGAGCTGAGCGGACTTGCCGACGACTGGTACCAGCGGTGTCAAGATCGGCCTCTGTGGAGGAGGCTCGTGAAGGACGCTACTGGGCAGTCACGGGACATCGTCCAGGCCGATGTTGTCGAATGTCAACAATGGCAGTAAGCCAAGCTGGACGATGCTCTCCTTTCGAACATCCGTACGTTCCCGAGATTGTCCACTCGACCTGTTGAGTGATGTACGTCCTTGTTCAGATGTGCATCATCACGATCAAATGTTGCGTACAACTACGGACCCATGCCACCCATAGCGTACCAGGGGTGAGCGTCTGCGAGAAGATGTTGGAACCCTTTCTGGCAATATACACATCTGGTCGTTCTCCAGTAATGATTCGGTGTGCACTTTCGCGTTGTGCACAGAAACAAGATTGCACTTAACCTCGACTGAAACTATTTCTGTTCAACTATTTATTTGTTTTCATTTTACCATTCTCGATTTGAAGCTTTCGTGACTGCAAGGATTCGGTAAGTCACGTAGGTAGAAATGATAATAATAATAAAATAAATAATAATAAATGAAAATAACTCAATTAAATCACGACGTTTCAGAGGCAACACAAGTCTCCGTCTTCAGGTGGTTAAGATCTTGTCTCTTGGATTTCTCTTCACTTGATACAGTAAATGTAGCTGTGACGGTCCCACCTGAAGACTGAGACTTATGTTGCCTCCGAAACGTCGTGATTTTATTGAGTTATTTTCACTTACTATTATTTTATTATTATTCATTTTACCAGTTGTAATATCCCATTGAGCCTAACACGGCGCACTTATAAAAAGCGGCCTGGCTGAACGAGATGGCTTATCCCGTGGAAATGTATAGCAGCCAAACACGCTGTAAACGACAGGCATGGCTAATATACATTCGTGAGTGCCGGATTGATGTATCAGAAGAACAAAAAACGAACTGAAGATGTATTTATTTAGACCGGCGGGATCCGATGAGCTATGAAGCTATTTTTGCACGGATGTCCTGTAACATTCTAACGACGTTCTCGACGGCATATAGAGCTGACATTTGACACGGATATAGTTGACTCTATGCTTATTACAACAACAAAACATATTTAATAGATTTTATTTTATTTTTTAAATGTACGCCCCACCCCAGCCCCCCCCCAATGACACAACCGCAATGAGTGAAGTATGTCCTGCAACACATTCCTGCGGAGGGAGCTGGTAGAAACGTTGGGTTGCTCGGTCAATGGCCAGGGTCAACGGCGGCGTGGTGTATTCCGCAAATATGGCCGACTGTGAGGGCGGGCACAAGCCGGCGTGAGTAGGTTAAACGTTGAGTTTTATAAGGGCACCACGGGGTGACCAGCCCCTCCCCACCCAGCCCCACCCCACCCAGCCCCACCTCACCCAGCCCCACCCTCCCCACCCAGCTCCTCCCCACCCTCCCCTCTTCACCCAGCCCCACCACTCCCATTTTTGGATGCACGACGGACGGACGGACACAATAATCCCCTGTGGGCTGGTGTAACCAGTAGGTTTCTACCAGTATAATCCATCTCGTACCAGATGCGGCCACCGCAATGGAATTCTTATTATTTCGTACGGGCTGGAAGGCTGCTGCCGATGCAGAGACAACAGCTACGAGTTCACGTGCAGCTAGTCAAGCTCGGACGACCGCGTCACTGGTAGGAGTTGATCATCATCGCTGCGATGTCTCTATCAGTCTATTGCGTTTCTAATGGATCTCGATGAGTCTGCGGATCTCTACGAGGTCTTCGAGTCTCTGTGCGTCTCTATTGGTCTGCATCTCTGTGGGTATCTGTGAGCCTCGATTGAAAGCTTTCGTGACTGCAGGGATTCATATTCTTGGTTCTTTCGGTAAAGTCACGTAGAAGGGAAATAATACAATTTAATTTTCAGTGAGAATTTTATTTTATTATGTTTTATTCTTATTATTTTATTTCCCTTCTACGTGACTTTACCGAAAGAACCAAGAATATGATTCTGTGAGTCTCTTCATCTTCTTATTCCGTGTGGCTGCTGATGTCGACGGAGAGGCAACAGCAGCTACAAATGTCACGTTTCAGGTGGTCACGCACAGATAATTCACTGGTCAACAAAAAAAAATTCTGGCCTGGACTTTTGCAGCTGTTTTAGACTAATTTCAGGGTGCTGATTCCAAATCTGATCTCATATTTGCTCTATCACATCTCATTTTTATGCTATCGGCATACCCCATTTTCATTGATTTACCCTAAATTAACTCTGTCACTTATGATTGCAAGTTGTTGCGAGTCAGTGACTGCTTTAGTGTTAAAATATGGTGCTGTATTTTTAGGATAGTGTGTTTATAATATAATTTTATGTAGATATCCACATTTATTTAATATTTTTCTTCTGCAGTTTTTATTGAAAATGCAATATTTGATATCTCAAAAACCTGATGTGATAGACAAAAACTGATGCCAGATTTGGAATCAGCACCCCAAAATTACCTTAAAACCCTTTGGAATACCTTATGCCAGAAAAAGTGTGTTGACCAGTAATCGGCGTCAGGAGTACTATCATCGTCGCTGCGTTGTCTCCTTCTTGGTGTTTGTGGATCGGGCGCATGGCGTGACATTACATTTGCGGATACTTGCTGCATAAATGGGACATTACAAAAAAAAACTTCGCCCAATGTTGCGACTGTGGTCATCCAGAACCGAGCTTGCAAGTCGCCTCCTCAATTCCATCTCCTGCCGCTGCAGTCTAAACAATCGTGCAAGATGCTTAACGACCCCCCCCCCCCCCACTCTGCCCCCCCCCACTCACATCGCTTCTGTCCACCCGGAAGTCTAAATGGGTTCGCCAGGTTGCGCATGGCCAAGTGAACTGTGAGTACTCGCCGCTTCTCCCTTCCACGACGTCTGGGCCGGCGTGGAAGAGTAGGCCAACTGCCCTCTCAGAGTCGAGGCCTATCCACCAACAGTGGCGTAGAGCGAGCACTTGCAGGGGCTGCGCCTCTAACTTTAGATGTTCCACCGCCTTCCAAACCCACGCTCGCTCCCTCCCTCGTTCCCTCCAACCCAGCCGCCCTGCAGGAGTAAAGTGCAGCTGTGTAAGGGGGAGAGAGAGAGAGTGGGAGAGAAGGTGGGGGGGAGGAGTGGGAGGAGGAGGGGGGGTGGATGAATTATTAACAGAGTTTCTTTAGCATTTGCGGTGATCTCTCGCCCCCCTCCTCACCATCACCCCCACCACCCCACCGCTAAGGGTCACATCGAGTCACAATCACGGCCAATGAGGCAACGCCTCCGTCACGGTGAGCGAGCGATTACAGCGCCATTGCCGATTGTTGGCCGGTGAAGCGCGCGGTTCGAATGGGGGCGGCGGCCCTGGATAATTGGAAGGCGCGGGAGCGTCAATAAGCGATCGTTAAAGCGCGCGCCGACTGATTCACGGTGGGACGTTGAAGATCCAGCGGCGTCCTTCGACGATGAGTTGCCCATTGGGGCGAGCACGTCACTGCCCTGCTAAGTCCCACAAACCGAACGCGTTAAGACGAAGATCTTCTCCCTTCCCCGTATGGCCTCGAACATAGACTGTCGGGGCAAGTGCTGTTAGCGAGCAGCACCTATGAAGGCCGCACACGAGGGGGTGGGTGGCCAACACCACGCCCGGCCGCCTTTGTCTCCCCCAGTGGCGATGTTTACCCACCGCGCACCAGGTACTCATTTGAGGCTGAGTCTACCTAGGGGAGGGCCCAGGACCGGTTCTGATAATCGTCACCGGCGTTGGCCGTGAGCGGGAATCGAACTCGGGCCGCGGGGTTCGTAGCAAAGTGCGCTAACCGCTGCACTACCGCGCACACGCACACGTGCACACACACATACACGTGCACTCACACACACGTGCACACAAACACACACGTGCAAACACAAAAGTGCACACACACCCACATACACACACGTGCACACACACCCACACGGGCACACACCCACACGTGCACACACACGTGCACACACACCCACACGTGCACACACACACGTGCACTCACACACACGTGGTACACACACACGTGGTACACACACACGCACACGTGCACACACACATACACGTGCACACACGTGGTACACACATACACGTGCACACACATACACGTGCACACACACACACGTGGTACACACACACGTGGTACACACACATACACGTGCACACACACGTGGTACACACACACATACACGTGCACTCACACATACGTGCACACACACGTGGTACACACACACACACTCTTGCACACACACGTGGTACACACACACACGTGCACACACACGTGGTACACACACACACACGTGGTACACACACACACGTGTTATCAAGAGCAGAGTGCAAGCGGAAAGGGCGCCGAGTCGGATCCACGGGTGCACAGCGGCGAGTGATAAACCAGCTCGTGGATATTAGACAAGAGGCCACGGCGTGCTGATTAAGCATGGTCATAAATACGTAACAAAACCTACTAGAACGAGCACTGGGGAGACAAAGGCGGCCGGGCGTGGTGTTGTTCATCCACCTCGGCTCGTGAGCCGGATCGCCGTGAAGGCGTTAGTGAATATTTGAATCCGACTGCGTCGACGCATTTCTCTATTTTGCAAATCAGCTCAAGCCTAGATCACGTGATTCCCGTGTGCCCACGCCCCCAACTCTGAAGCCCCTCCCACTTTCCTCCTCCCCGCCGCCCACTGTGAAAACAGACGCCGCTTCTCCTCCGCGCCAAAGCCGACTGAAGAGTCCCATAGCTCGCAAGGTGCTTCGAAATAAACCGAGCTGAACTGAGCGGCAACGACGCCCTGATGCATCCTCCCCTTGCTCCTTATCCTCCTCCTCCTCATCCTCCTCCTCATCCTCCTCCTCATCCTCCTCATCCTCCTCCTCCTCCTCATCCTCCCCCTCATCCTCCTCCTCATCCTCCTCCTCATCCTCCTCCTCCCCCTCATCCTCCTCCTCATCCTCCTCCTCATCATCCTCCTCATCATCATCATCCTCCTCATGCTCCACCTCCTCCTCCTCATCCTCCTCCTCATCCTCCTCCTCATCCTCCTGCTCTCTCATCATCATCCTCCTCCTCATCCTCCTCCCTCTCCTCGTCTCTCCTGACCCATGTCCTCTCATTTCTGTATTGTATAAGGATTGTTATTGGGATCAAACATCGAAATGGATTTTTTTGCACTTTTTGTACGCAGCATGGACGGGTGGTGCTTCTTCTGTACGATTTTATTGTTCATGTACGTGATTTTGATTTAAAGCTTTCGTGACTGCAGGGATTCAAATTCTTGGTTCTTTCGGTAAAGTCACGTAAAAGGGAAAAAATAAAATAATAAAAATAAAACATTTTAACACGTAGGCTTTCGCGACCAATGTTATTCATAATCAACGTTTTTGGGTTTAGATCGCGTTTATTTATAAATGTGTCGTAACCCTCCACCACCCGACACGGCCAATCAGTAAAAAAGTGTCACGTTGACAAAGACAAATAGTTCACTGCTTTAGCCCACCGGTGTGTTGAAGCCACAACAAAGCCGACTGAAGAGTCCCATAGCTCGCAAGGTGCTTCGAAATAAACCGAGCTGAACTGAGCGACAACGACGCCCTGATGCATCCTCCCCTTGCTCCTTATCCTCCTCCTCCTCATCCTCCTCCTCATCCTCCTCCTCCTCCTCATCCTCCCCCTCATCCTCATCCTCCTCCTCATCATCCTCCTCATCATCCTCCTCATCATCATCATCATTTACAATTTGAGTACTCAAATTGTAAATGTTGTGGCTTCAACACACCGGTGGGCTAAAGCAGTGAACTATTTGTCTTTGTCAACGTGACACTTTTTTACTGATTGGCCGTGTCGGGTGGTGGAGGGTTACGACACATTTATAAATAAACGCGATCTAAACCCAAAAACGTTGATTATGAAAAATAAAACATAATAAAATTTAATTCTCACGACGTTTCGGCCACAACGCAAGCAGCCGTCCTCAGGTGAAGAACAGGTCTGTCGGAAAGACAGCGTCTGAATGAACACCACCAAGCTTGGCAGCGTATATTTAAGCTGGGTTGGAGGGGGAAGGGCGCCTTGACAAAGGAATTAGCATATCAAGACAGCAGCAGAGGTTAGTGTAAATGCATTATGTTTAATTTTTATTGTTTTATTATTTCCCTTCTACGTGACTTTACCGAAAGAACCAAGAAGATTAATTCTATATCTATTTAAAGTTGCGCATTTTGATCAACCCCCCCCCCCCCCACTCGTCACACATCGTCACAAATGTCTGACCCTCCCCCCCAGGTGCGTGACGTAATTTATGGACGGCCCCTTATTATATTAAATTATAATTATGTGACCTTTGTGATGATGGCTGAAACTGCTCGTCTGCAATGTAGTGCTGTGCATGTTGACTTTATCGGAGGTGCGGGGGAACGGAATCAAACTGAACGCAACGAGGCAGTTCTAAAGACGCGAGTTGTCACCCCAGGTGATTTAAAAGTGCCACAGCTCCCGGCGTGCTTGCGCATATCGGAAAGGAAGGGAGCGTTCCAGACGGCCGCCGAAGCGACGCATCTGCCTGGACGGTGCGGGCGGCAGCCAAATCTATTTTTGGTTCTTTCGGTAAAGTCACGTAGAATGGAAATAATAAAAGAATAAAAATAAAACGTAATTAAATAATTCTCACGACGTTTCGGCCACAACGCAAGCAGCCGTCCTCAGGTGAAGAGCAGGTCTGTCAGAAAGACAGCGTCTGAATGAACACCACCAGGCTTGGCAGCGTATATTTAAGCTGGGTTGGAGGGGGAAGAGCGCCTTGACAAAGGAATTTGCATATCAAGAGGAATTTAGCATATCTTGATATGCAAATTCCTTTGTCAAGGCGCTCTTCCCCCTTCAACCCAACTTAAATATACGCTGCCAAGCCTGGTGGTGTTCATTCAGACGCTGTCTTTCTGACAGACCTGTTCTTCACCTGAGGACGGCTGCTTGCGTTGTGGCCGAAACGTCGTGAGAATTATTTTATTATGATTAATTTTTATTATTTCATTATTTCCATTCTACGTGACTTTACCGAAAGAACCAAGAAAATGAATCCCTGCAGTCACGAAAGCTTTAAATCGAAATTTAAATCTATTTTTGTTCGATGGCCGAACCCGAAAAACGCCGTCGCTGCTGCCGCTGCTGCTGCTGCTTCTGCTGCTTCTGCCACGAGGGATGATGAGCGCGGAGGAGTCTCGCGTGGGTCGATGATTTGTGCTCCTTGACGAGATTCGGGCAGCGAGGTGATTCGTGCGCTCCGTTTGCGGCGTGCGCTTGTGCGCTCAGCGAGTGGGCAAATATAGAACGCGCTGATGTTTGTGACCTCCCCCCCCTCTCTCTCACGTCATTTGCTTACTCCCCACACCCCCACCCCCCACGCAGGAGTCACTGCCACGAATCGTTAAGGTGCCGGGCTGAGCACGGAGCAGAGGTGGTGAGAGAGAGAGGAGGAAGAGGGAGGAGGAAGAGAGAAGACTGAAAACAACAGCACGTAGCATATTGCGGGGAGTAGAGAGGAGAGAGAGTGGGGGAGGGGGTTAGAGAGGGAGGTGGGAGAGACGGGAGGCGAGAGGGTGGTGGGGGGGGAGTGGGAGACGGACGGACACAGCAACGGCGAAGAACGAATCGAGCGATATCCACTGCAGAGGACGACTGCCGCGTCTCTGGCGACTGAGCGAGACTCGGAGACACCCAGAAGGAAGGTGCAGCTATTAAACTGGCGGAGAAGCAGATCTCGTGAGCGACGCAGAACGACTGATAAGTGACTGACAGACAGACACGCGTACAGGGCAACATTGAGACAGGCACAGAGAGAGAGCCAGAGAGAGATATCAATCTGAGAATATTTAGATACTGAGACACGGATAGACATCGGGGTAAAGAGAGTACACATACACACACTGACACACACACTGACAGACACACACTGACACACACACACTGACACACACACACAGTGACACACACACACACTGACACACACACTGACACACACACACACACACTGACACACACACACACTGACACACACACACTGACACACACACACACTGACACACACACACACTGACACACACACACTGACACACACTAACACACACACACACTGACACATACACACTGACACACACACACACTGACACTGACACACACTGACACACACACACTGACACACACAGACACACACACACTGACACACACACACACACACTGACACACACACACACTGACACACACTGACACACACACACTGACACACACACACTGACACACACACACTGACACACACACTGACACACACACACACTGACACACACACACTGACACACACACACACTGACACACACACACTGACACACACACACTGACACACACACACTGACACACACACTGACACACACACACTGACACACACACACTGACACACACACTGACACACACACACGGACACACGGGGCCGGCATGGCTCTTCTCGCGCTCTGCATCGTCGCTGCTCTGTGCAGTAGCCGCGCGCTCCTGGCCGCGCGTCCCTCCTCTTCCTCCTCCTCCGCCGCGGGCCGCGGGTCCGTAGGGTCCGGGTTGGGCTCCGGCCCGGGGCTGGCCTCGGTGCCCAACTCCGGGTTGGGGATGGGGGGGCCGCTGCGTCGGAGAGGAGAGGGAGGAGGCGGAGGAGGAGGTGGAGGAGGTGGTGGAGGAGGAGGAGGTGGAGGAGGAGGTGGAGGAGGATCCCGGGGGGGATCAGCCGGCGGTCCAAATCGTTCTCTGCAACAACAGCAACAGAAGCAGAAGCAGCTACAGCTGCAGCTGCAGCAGCAGCAGCAGCAGGCGGGGTCGGGCGGTAGCTCCCCGGACCCGTGCTACAACGAAAGCGGCCACCCGCGCCGCTGCATCCCCGACTTCGTGAACGCGGCGTTCGAGATGGAGGCGCGCGCCAGCAGCACGTGCGGGAGCCCCCCGTCACGGTGAGCCCCCCCCCCTCCCCTTGCCCCCCCCCCCTCCCCTTGCCCCCCCCCTCCCCTTGCCCCCCCCCCCCCACACACTCCTCCCTACTGTCCACTCCCGGTGACGACCCCCTCCCCCCACTGTTGGTGTTGAGCTCCCCCTTCGACTAGCGAGCCCTCTCCCCCCTTCCCCGTGCCCCCCCCCACCGCTCCCCATCCTATTCCCGTGATCCCCCCCCCGGCCCCCTGCCGAGCTATAGTATTTGTAGGGGGCAGTAGGATGCGTAGCAGCAGCAGTAGCAGCAGCAGTAAGCGGCGCTCGTTCAACACGCACGTGAATGGGAGCGCCTCTGGTGGCTGATATGGCGAGAAGTCCACTTCGATATGCCGTGACTCGACAATGAATATCATTGATGTTCATAATCATGATTAGACTCAGAGAGAGAGAGGGGACGACTCAGAGAGAGAGGACGACTCAGAGAGATAGAGGACGACTCAGAGAGAGAGAGGACGAATCAGGGAGAGAGAGAGGGCGACTCAGAGAGAGAGGGGACGACTCAGAGAGAGAGAGAGGACGACTCAGAGAGAGAGAACGACTCAGAGAGAGAGAGGAGGACTCAGAGGCGCCAGGAGGAGGACGATGAAGCACAGATGAGCGGGAAGGCAGCAGCAGCTGCAGCAGCAGCGCCGACGCAAAATCCCACCCCCAGGCTCTGCGGTCCTCTATACATGAAGGCGTTCTTGGCCACTGAATGAACGTTTACGTTTGGGAGTAAATCAGAGCACCCGGAGAAAACCCTCGCGTGCAAGGGGGCAACGCTCTATCCCGTACAAATGGAACGGGCGGATCCCAATGCCTCGTTCTTGTGCCGCCTTCTCCTGTCACAGCCACGGAAAGAAAGTTTCACTCAACGTCTCTGTGTGTGCGCGCGCGCGTGACCCACCAACCCCTCGCTGCCGCTTCCGCACACGGTGCTGGGCTACAGGCAGCCGCGTGCAGCAGTAGGAGCAGCAGCAGCAGCGTGAGTCGCGGCTAGCGCACGAGCAGCAGCGGGCAGGTCGTCCAAGGCAGTGCTTTATTGTGAATATCATCATCATCAGCATCATCATCAGCAGCAGCATCAGCAGCAGCAGCAGCAAGATCATCGTCATCTTCAATTACGAGTAACATCCGCAGCATTGGCGGCAGTGGGGTGAGGCAGCAGCTAGCAGCAGCAGCAATCAACCTCGTGTCATCCGCGTCGTCACGGCAGTCACTTTCCACGTCCCGTCCCCCCACTCGCAATCTTCCGCAGGTATTGCTCCTCTATCTCCTCCTCATCCTCCTCCTCATCCTCCTCGGGTCCTTCCGGAGGCGATGGCCGGGGCCACATCCTCGCCGGCGCTGCTGCTGCTGCTGCGGCTGCAACGGGAGGAGGAGGAGGATCCGTCGGCGTCGGCTGCCGCATCTGCGATTCGTCCGACCCGCGCGGCGCCCACCCTCCCTCGCTGCTCACCGACCTCCACAACCCGCACAACGCCACGTGCTGGCTGTCCGAGGCGGGCCTGTCGCCCGGCCAGAACGTCACCCTCGTGGTGCCTCTGGGCCTCAAGTACGAGGTGACCTTCGTGAGCGTCCAGTTCTGCACGCCGCTGCCGCCCGACTCGCTCGCCATCTACAAGTCCATGGACCGCGGCAAGACGTGGGTGCCCTTCCACTTCTACTCGAGCCAGTGCCGACGCGTGTTCGGGCGGCCGCACCGCGGCACCGTCACCAAGATGACCGAGCAGGAGGCGCTGTGCACCGACGCGCACCTGTCCCAGGGCCTCGTGGCATTCAGCACGCTGGACGGGCGTCCGTCGGCCAACGATTTCGCCAACAGCCCCGTGCTGCAGGACTGGGTGACGGCCACCGACATCAAGGTGGTGCTGGTCAAGCCGTGGAGCAATTTGGCCGGGGGGTCGTCATCGTCCTCGGCATCATCATCATCCTCCTCCTCCTCCGGCGGGGTCATCGGCGGCGTCGTCTCGCCTGGGTCAACAGCCGGCGGCGGCGGCGCCGTCAGCAACGAGCTGGCGGACGGAACGCCTCCAGAGAGTCGCTACCACGGCGTGGCCGACATCCAAGTCGGGGGCCGCTGCCGCTGCAACGGGCACGCGTCGCGGTGCGGCCGCGACCGCGACGGGGCGGCCGCGTGCGAGTGCCGCCACAACACGGGCGGGCCCGAGTGCGACTCGTGCCGAGCATTCCACCACGACCGGCCCTGGCAGAGGGCCACGAGCAGAGATGCCCACGAGTGCGTCGGTGAGTCGGCGGCGGCGGTGGTGGTGAGTGTGGTGGTGGTGAGTGTGAGAGTGGTGGTGGTGAGTGTGAGAGTGGTGGTGAGTGTGAGAGTAGTGGTGGTGAGTGGTGGTGGTGAGTGGTGGTGGTGAGTGCGGTGGTGGTGAGTGTGAGTGGTGAGTGTGTGAGTAGTGGTGGTGGTGGTTGTGTGAGTGTGGTGGTGGTGGTGGTGTGAGTGTGGGAGTGGTGGTGGTGGTGGTTGTGTGAGAGTGGTGGTGGTGAGAGTGGTGGTGATGAGCGTGGGAGTGGTGATGGTGGTGAGTGTGAAAGTGGTGGTTGTGGTGAGTGTGAGTGGTGGTGGTGGTAAGTGTGAGAGTGGTGGTTGTGGTGAGTGTGAGTGGTGGTGGTGGTGAGTGTGAGAGTGGTGGTGAGTGTGAGAGTGGTGGTGGTGGTGGTTGTGTGAGAGTGGTGGGAGTGGTTGTGGTGGTGAGTGTGGGAGTGGTGGTGGTTGTGTGAGTGGTGGTGGTGGTTGTGTGGTTGGGATTAAACGCAGCAAGTTGTCACAGTGCTGGGGCACAGCTGCTGCATCTGCCTGTCATCTCAGTCAGTCAACCCACGGCACCACCTGGGTCTGTCCCGTGATCTCCTCCTGCACCTAGCCTGGCACAGCAGTCAACCCACGGCACCACCTGGGTCTGTCCCGTGATCTCCTCCTGCACCTAGCCTGGCACAGCAGTCAACCCACGGCACCTGCTGGGTCTGCCCCGTGACTTCCTCCTCCGGCACCTAGCCTGGCACAGCAGTCAACCCACGGCACCTGCTGGGTCTGCCCCGTGACTTCCTCCTCCTGCACCTAGCCTGGCACAGCAGTCAACCCACGGCACCACCTGGGCTTGTCCCGTGACCTCCTCCTGCACCTAGCCTGGCACAGCAGTCAACCCACGGCACCTGCTGGGTCTGCCCCGTGACTTCCTCCTCCTGCACCTAGCCTGGCACAGCAGTCAACCCACGGCACCACCTGGGCCTGTCCCGTGACCTCCTCCCGTCAGCCGGCTTGTCTGCACCTAACGTGGCACAAGCATCGTGGTAACGTCACCGCCACTTCACATCCTGTTAAGGCATTAGGGGGCATCTTTGTATTTGGTGTGAGTGGTTAGAGACAAAGATCCCCCGTATAGCCTTAACAGATTGTTGGGGTGAGTGCTCCTAACGAGTAGCACCTATTATAGCCGGCACGGCCCGGCCGCCTTTGTCTCCCCAGTGCTGATGCTTACACAACGCACCAGGTGCTAATTGGTGTGAGTGGTGGCGAGTAGTGGTGGCGATGGTGGTCGTGTCCGTGGCAGCGATAATGACGGTGGTGGTGGCGCACGAACCGTTACACCACCGCTCATCATCATCATTTGGCAGTGGTGGTGGTGGTGATGATATCGATGAGTGAGTATCACCCAATTAATCATCCCGTTCGGTAACCGATGCGAGTGGTGGGTAGCGGTGGAGGTGGTGGTGGTGGCTGTGAGCAGGAGTCGAACTCGGGTGGCGGCCGCGTTAGTAGCGACAACGCGCTAACCCAGGGGTCGGGAACCTTTTTGACTGGGAGAGCCATAAAAGCCAAATATTTCTAAATATATTTCATTGAGAGCCATATAGTATTTTTAACGTATAATACATTAAATATATCTTACTTTTAATGCGACTTCTGGTGCTGCATGGTTTTGCTGATGGCCTTGTAGTCTGGTTCATACGTGGTGAGGTTGAGCTTCGTGCAGGCGTGACCCGTGAAATGTAATTAAGTATTTTAAAATCAGTTCCAAACTGATTTTTTTTTTCAACTCAAAATTGTCTGGGAGCCATATGCCGTCACTGGAAGAGCCATATATGGCTCGCGAGCCATAGGTTCCCGACCGCTGTGCTAACCGCTACACCCAGTGCCGGACTAAGCTAGTGCGGGACCTGTAGCATATGTTATAAAGGGGCCCAAAATAAAAAAAAATAGCACTTAAATATTAAAAACATACATTTTTAACTGGCATAATAAAGTAATTGTACATTTTTATTTGCTTTACAGCCAGATATTACGACACATCGCTAACCTTAACACCCAGTCGTTCGTAAAAGTTGAAGGCAGTATAGTACTATAGTAATTGAGCAAGTGCAGAATCACTGAATCGGAATTTATAGCTCGAAAGCATGTCGCGCGGGTACCATTGAAAGTGCGGGGCCCGTAGCTACTGCATATGTAGTAGTAGCTACTAGCTACTACTACATATGTAGTAGTAGCTAGTAGTAGTAGCTAGTAGCTACTACTAGCTAGTAGCTACTACTACATAGTAGCTACTAGCTACTACTACATATGTAGTAGCTACTTGTGCTACTGGGATCATCCGGAACTGACTACACCCACCGCTCATCGTTATCAGCGAGCGTTTGATTTCGACGAGTAAAAAAATCTCACCCCAATAAACCACCCGTTTGGACAACCGATTTCAGCCGTTGCAAGCTCAACCCCGTGACCTCTCCTCCTCCTCCGTCTCTGCCGCCAGCCTGCCGCTGCAACCTGCACGCGAGCCGCTGCCGCTTCAACATGGAACTCTACAAACTGTCGGGACGCACCAGCGGAGGCGTCTGCCTCACGTGCCGTCACAACACCGCCGGCCGGCACTGCCACTACTGCAAGGAGGGCTTCTTCCGCGACCTCGGCAAGGCCATCACCGACCGCAAGGCGTGCAGGCGTGAGTCCCGCTACCACCACCGACAAACAAAGACAAAGATCCCCCGTGTAGCCTTCACAGACTGTTGGGGCAAGTGCTGTCAGCGAGTAGCATCTATGGTCCATAGCGTGAGTTGCATGGCCACAAGTCCACTGCTGTGGCTTGTCTTTAAAGTGTCTCTATGGGTCTCTATGGGTTTCTGTGTATCTCTACGTGTCGCTGTGTTTAATCTATGGTTCATAGTGTGAGTTGCATGGCCACAAGTCCACTGCTGTGGCTTGTCTTTAAAGTGTCTCTATGGGTCTCGATGGGTGTCTGTGTATCTCTGTGAGTCTCTGCGTGTCTTTGCGTCTCATGGATTCACTGTACGGTCCGTAGTTTTGCCCGCATGGCCACAACCGCACCGTCATCTGTAACGGAGATGTGGCGTCATTATCGGGCCGGTGATGTTGGTCCGATGCGGTTGACGATGATGGTTGAACCTTCAGTGCCTTCGTGGAGGAGGAGGATGAGGAGGGATGTTAAAGTCCAGGATGGGCAACCTCCAACGAGCTCCCCCATTATTGACGTTCGACGAGTGACCACCACAACAGCGTCGACGCATCACCACGTGGGCAATAACAACCGCCGTTGACAATAGGAGCAATCCCCCCCCCCCATCTCACCCCCCCCTCCTCCTGACCACCACCAACCCGAGCTGACCTGACCCCACCGACCTGGACTTGAACCCTCACCCGTGGAGTTCCGACCACACACGCACCGGGGTTGTGACGCTCTCTCACTCTGTCACTCTCTCACTCTCTCTCTCTCACTCTCTCTCTCACTCTGTCACTCTCTCGCTCGCTCTCTCACTCTCTCACTCACTCACCCTCTCACACTCTCTCACTCTCACTGTCTCTCACTCTCTCACTCTCTCACTCACTCTCACTCTCTCTCACACTCTCACTCTGTCACTCTCTCACTCACTCTCTCACTCTGTCACTCTCTCGTCCGGGGTGAGGTCCCCGCTCTCAGAAATTCGCTACCCCCCTAACCCCCCCCACCCCCACCCCACCCCCCACCGATCGTAAAAGGCCGAGAACGCGCCTCTTGCTCCCCCCTCACAGCCCCCTCCGCCACGCGAGACCCCCCCCCACGCCCCCCCCCTCCCCACACCCCCCTCCCCCGCCGCCTCCATCTCGGGAACGTCTCCGGGTGCAGTAAACGTCGGGCCCGACGGTCGACCTTGGACCTCCGAGGAGGAGGAGGGAGGAGGAGTAAAACATGTTTTTATTTGGTGTTAACCACCAGGGCACCACTGGGGCTCGGAGGTGTTAACTACCTCGCCTGGTGTACAGGAGGTCGTGGGTTCGATCCCGACCCTGACGCCTGCTGCTGTATATTTGCAGTTTGCGCGTCTCTCTCTCTCATCATCATCACGGTGGCTAGGAGATGTTAAACTACCTCGCCTGGTCTACAGGAGGTTAGTGGGTTCGATCCCGACCCTGACGCCTGCTGCTGCTGTATATTTGCAGTTTTGCGTGTCTCTCTCTCATCATCATCACGGTGGCTAGGAGATGTTAACTACCTCGCCTGGTGTGCAGGAGGTCGTGGGTTCGATCCCGACCCTGACGCCTGCTGCTGTATATTTGCAGTTTGCGCGTCTCTCTCTCATCATCATCGCGGTGGCTAGGAGATGTTAACTACCTCGCCTGGTACGCAGGAGGTCGTGGGTTCGATCCCGACCCTGACGCCTGCTGCTGTATATTTGCAGTTTGCGTGTCTCTCTCTCATCATCATCACGGTGGCTAGGAGATGTTAACTACCTCGCGTGGTATACAGGAGGTCGTGGGTTCGATCCCGATCCCGACCCTGACGCCTGCTGCTGTATATTTGGAGTTTGCGCGTCTCTCTCTCATCATGATCACGGTGGCTAGGAGATGTTAACTACCTCGCCTGGTCTGCAGGAGGTCGTGGGTTCGATCCCGACCCTGACGCCTGCTGCTGTATATTTGCAGTTTGCGTGTTTCTCTCTTTTTCCGTCTCCCCGTAGTCGAGTGGAATTTTTCTCCGGCTCCTCCGGCTTCCCCCCCCCCCCCGCGTCAGCGTCGCGCGTTTTAGAGTATTCGGCGGCTGCTGCGATGGACGTGACGGTGAGCCCCACTTCGTTGAGCGATCATTTGTGGGCGCGTCGCTTCTGCAAAAAGAGCTACCCAGCTCAAGTGGGGCCTTGAACTGGTAAAATAAAATGCGTTTATTTTTGTTATATAGTTTATAGTTTAACTTCAAGGACCGCGAGCTGGGTCCCTGGTGTGCGTGTGGGTGGTGATGGTGGTGGTGGGGAGCGGAATTGTAGCGGGTAGCGGTATTCCATAACACAGTTTTTTTGGGGGGGGGGTTAGATCACGTACATTTAAATCTGTCGTTAAACCCGCCACCACCCGACACAGCCGTTTATATGATAGATGATGTCGGTCGCGAAATCCTCCGTGTCAAACTGTGTCAAACTGGCTAGCAGCATCTTCTTGGTTCTTTCGGTAAAGTCACGTAGAAGGGAAATAATAAAAAAAATAAGGATTTTTTTTACATTATTCTTTTATTATTTCCCTTCCACGTGATTTTACCGAAAGAACCGAGAAGATGAATCCCTGCAGTCACGAAACCTTTAAATCGAACTGTCTAGCAGCAGTAATGCCAAGTCACGTGCACCGCCGTGGGAACGCCGGGCTCGGATTGGCGAGCCGGGCGGGTTGGCCTAGTAGGTGGTCATTGGAACGCCGCGAGCCGCCTGCAGCGGTGCATGCCGGGGCGAGGACAATTAGTTGGTCGCTGCATGAGCTGACTAACCCTGTCGCTCACTTTGACGAGCAAAGAACAAAGAAGAGCGTTCGTGCAAGCTGCGATGTTTCAGTTTTCAGTTTCATTCATTAGGTACGAGCTGTACTACCCCGGCTTCGCCCGGGACTTGGATTCACCACACCCGGCCGCCTTTGTCTCCTCAGTGGCGATGTTCACACCACAAGAGTTACTCGTTTGAGGCTGAGTCGACCTAGGGGAGGCCCAGGAGCGGTTCAAATAATCGTCACCGGTGGTGGCCGTGAGCGGGAATCGAACTCGGGTCAACGGGTTCGTAGCGCAGCGCGCTACCCGCTACACTACAATGCGTTACGCTTCCACATGTGCGGGTCACGTGACAGATGTGACGTCACAGCTCACTTGCCGTGCAAAAAAATATATGCATCGAGCCCCCCCCTCCTCAAACATTTTTTTGTATTTTTATCATTTTTGCATGGTGTACAGTCTGGAAAGTACCCACGTGGCAAATTTCCAGTTTGTTGCATGTCGGGAAGTACGCTAAACATTTTGAACAGACACACATAATCACAACTTTGCCTTTTTTTTTTATAAAAATGGAGATAACCCTGTGAGCCATGCGGCTCTAGACTCGGCTGCAACCGCAACAAAACATAAACATGAACAAGAAAACATCTTCAAGTGACTACACGCAACAGAAAAATCCTGGAAAAAAACTGCAAAGTAGTAGTAGCATCGTTGGGTAAATCGCACCGACCGGCTTGGGGAAGCATGGTCGAAAAAAAGAAAACAATTCAGCTTGACCACCCTATGCTGCCACGCGATCCAATGCATCCTCCGCGGGCAATGTTTACCCAAAAGGTGCCGGAAATAATCCAGTTGGCTTCGTCAAATCTCACCTGGCCTGGCCTGACTCAAGTACGAGTTGCCCCCCCCCTCCACTCCTCTCGGCCCCTCCCCCCCCCCCTAATCTCAGGCTTCCCCACCTACCCACCCACCCATCCACCCCTTCCTCTCCACTCTCTCAAAGTCTCCTTTGTAGTCCGCAAGATAGCCGAGGTGTTGACGATAAAGTTCGATACACGTTATCGCCGCCCGTTAAAATAGTTATGGTGGTGTGGGTGGGGGTAGCGGCTCGGGGGGGGTGGGGGTGGGAGGTTTCTCCGTAAAAATCGCTTTCACACCTCAAGGGGCAACACGAGACGATAAACAAAGACAAAGATGCCCCCTGTAGCCGCACGGACCATTGGGGCAAGTGCTGTCGGCGAGCACCTGTCAAGGCCGGCACGTCACGCGGGGAAGTGCTGTGGTCAACACCAAACAACACAGACAAAGATTCCCCCCCCGGTATAGCCTTTAACAGATTGTTGGGGCAAGTGCTGTTAGAGTGCAGCACCGAATGAATGAAGGCCGCAACAGCACACGAGGGGGTGAGTGGCCAGCACCACGCCCGCCCGGCCGCCTTTGTCTCCCGAGTGGCGATGTTTACACATCGCACCAGGTGCTACGTTTGAGGCGGAGTCGACCTAGGAGAGGTCGATTCAGCCAACGGTGTTGGCCGTGTGTGCAGAGGACTAACCGCTAGACTACCGCTCCTCGTTAAAAAAAAAGACAAAGACAAAGATCCCCCGTATAGCCTTAACAGAACGGTACACGAGGGGGTGGGTGACCAGCACCACGCCCGACCGCCTTTGTCTCCCCAGTGGCGATGTTTACACACCGCACTAGGTACTCATTTGAGGCTGAGTCGACCTAAGGGAGGCCCAGGACCGGTTCAGATATTCGTCACCAGTGTTGGCCGTGAGCGGCAATCGAAGCCGGATCGCCGGGTTCATAGCGCAGCGCGCTAATCACTACACTATCACACTCACACGCTGCAGAACAGGGGCAGAACATACAACCTCCACACAGAAAGGCACCCTAGTAGGAATTCGAACCTAGGGACTTATTAGCTGCAAAGCACAAGCGTTACCACTGCTTCGTCAATAACCACCGACTGATGCTGAGCGTATTGCGTGGTATTCTTTGAGTCTTTCAGTAGTAAGTACAGTGACAGTAAGTACAATTATAAATGCATAACTCCCACAACATAGGTTATTACGGTGGCAACATCTGGTAACACCCCTATAGAAGTGACGTCACAGCGCTTTGCAAAGGAGTGTGGGTATTTTCTAAAATGGCGGTTGAGCACACGTCACAGTGTCAGAGTCATATGGGGCCATTCTTTGTCAATCCGGTGGGAAAAAAATCTATTAATTATTTACAAGTGTTGTGCGCTGTTGTTTGCCAATGATAGCGATGATTGTTGTTAAAAAGCGACAACATTAATTATATCTGCTACGTGTTTCCCAATTGACAAACCTGGGCCTACCTTGCAAAGCGAGATGTTCCATCTCAAGGGAAACTTCCAGGTTAAATATTTGAGTAATAGATAAAGAAAATGGTGATGATGGCAATGTTGATGACCATGTTGATGACGATGTTGATAACGATGTTGCTGTGGATTTCACACCTGATGACGATTGCTTGTGTTGCAGTCGAAACGTCGTGATAATTTTTATTGTTTTATATTTTATTATTGTATTACTTCCCTTCTACGTGATTTTACCGAAAGAACCAATAATATAATGTTGACAATGTTGATGATAATTATAATGATGACGAGGATCACAATGTTAATTATGGTAATGAAGGTGATGACTTCAAAGATTACAACAACGAGGTTGACGACAATGATGATGACGACGACAATGACAATGTCAGTGACGTTCACCATGACGACGATGATGACGACGATGTGGGTTGCCCCCTTGCCAGCTTGCGACTGCCATCCGGTGGGCTCCTCGGGCAAGACGTGCAACCAGACGAGCGGGCAGTGCCCGTGCAAGGACGGGGTCACGGGGCTCACCTGCAACCGCTGTGCGCGCGACTACCAGCAGAGCCGCTCGCCCGTCGCACCCTGCATACGTACGTGCACACACACACACACAAAGACAAAGGTCACCAGTGTAGCCTCAACGGACTGGAGGGGGCAAGTGCTGTATAGCAAGTAGCACCTATGATGGCCGGCACGGTACACAAAGGGGGTGGGTGGCAAGCAGCCACGCCCGACCGCCTTTGGAATCGGTCCCGGGCCTCCCCTAGGTCGACTCAGCCTGAAATTAGTACCTGATGTCACGTACATGCACACACATACACAAGACAAAGGTCCCCCGTGTAGCCTTAACGGACTGTTGGGGCCAGTTGCTGTGCTGTTAGCAAGCAGCACCACCGAACGAAGGCCGGTTTACGGCACATGAAGTGGGTAGGCGGCAGGCACACTCGCCCGGCCGCCTTTGTCACCCCAGCGGCGACGTTGTACACACCACGGCAGGTGCTCATTTGAGGCTGAGTCGACCTAGGGGAGGCGCAGGACCGGTATTGATGGCCGTGAGCGGGACTCGAACTCGGGTCGTCGGGTTTCCGTAGCTGCAATGCAGAGCTGCGGAGGCAGCAGCAAGGGTTGATGGATCACACACAGATGGTTGGGAACCTCGCTTCTCGTGGGCGCAGGAGGAGCCGTATCTCGGCTCGCCAAGAAAAGTCGGTGCAGGAAGAAAAACAAAAACCGTGGGCTCCACCTGTTCTATCTGTAACGGGGGGATTGAGCGTTGCCCCCTCACGCGCGCGGGTTCTCTCCGGGCGCTCCGGTTCCATCCCATGTGTACTAACACTCGTTAATTGGCTGAAAAACATCTTGATGCATAGAGGGCCGCCGAGCTTAGGCAGTTTTTGATACTGGCTGCTCCGCCTGGCTGTTGCCTTTCCCCGCTCATCTGTGAGTCCTCCTAACGCCTCTGAATCGTCGCCCCCTCTCTCTCTGTGTGTTTGTGTCTACGAGAGCGTGCAGATGCCACGCAACAGTGGCGGGGAGTAAGGGTGGGGGTGGGAGTCCAGTGTTGCGAGTTGACATGATTCTTGTTGTTGTTGTTGTTCGTGTTGTTGTTGTTGCTGCTGCTGCTGCAGGAATCCCTCATGCCGAGCCGACTCCGATGGTCACCACGACACAGGCGCCAAAAGGTTTGTCCACGTTGCGCGCGTCAAACTGATCGTGAGACTGCGCGCGTGTGTGCGTGCGTGTGCGTGCGTGTGAGTGCGTGTGCGTATGCGTACATGTGTGAGGTCGACTCAGCCTGAAATGAGCACCTGGTGCGGTGCGTAAAAACATCGCCACTTGGGAGACAAAGGCGGCTGGACGTGGTGCTGGCCATCCACCCCCTCGTGTGCCGTTCTGGCCTTCACAAGTGCTACTCGCTAACAGCACTTGCCCCAACAGCCTGTTAAGGCTATACGCGGGATCTTTGTCTTTGTGCGTGTCATCTCAGTCAGTCAACCCACGGCGCCTGGGTCTGCCCCGTGCCCTCCTGCCAGCGGGCGTTAGACACTTCACGTGGCATTGCGTGGCACAAACGCCGCGGTGACGTCACCGCCACTTAGTGGCGAATGGCGGCGGTTGTCGTTGTGTGTGTGTAAGTTGACTCAACTTCAAACCAGCTACCTGCTGCGCTGTGTAAATGTCGCCAATGGGGAGACAAAGGCGGCCGGCCGTGGTGCTGGCCACCCCACCCTCTCGTGCGACATGCTGGTCTCCAATAATGCTGATTAATCTTCTTGGTTCTTTCGGTAAAGTCACGTAGAAGGGAAGTGATCAAATAATAAAAAATAAAAGATAATAAAATAATTCTCACGACGTTTCGGCCACAACGCAAGCAGCCGTCCTCAGGTGAAAACCAGGTCTGTCGAGGCGACAGCGTCTGAATGAAACAGCACACGTGCTTGGAGTATATATATAAGCTGGGTTGGAAGGGGGGGTTGTGGCCGAAACGTCGTGCTGATTAAGTGTGAATAACCCGACAGGTAACGTGCACTAAATGTATGTGCGTTGAACTTCGTTCGCACCGTACGTAGCCAACCAACATAATATATTCCATTGGAACCTCATTTTGCCAGTAACAAAATATGATAATTGGTTTTTTACCCTTTTATCTGGCGACAAAACTGACATCTTTTTTTTTACAAGGAGTCATGTTTGCATAGACCACAATACCTGCAGTCGGAATGCAAAAAAAAAACACAACTCTGATAATGTATGCACTGTCCTTGAAGTTGATTGGTCCACACCCGAGACAGCTTTTTTTAGAGCCAATCAATTTCAAGGACAGTGCATACATTATCAGAGTTATGTTTTTTGTTTGCATTCCGACTGCAGGTATTGTGGTCAATGCAAACATGACTCCTTGTACAAAAGGTGTCAGTTTTGTTGCCAGAAAAAAAGCAAAAAAACAATTATCATAACATAATATATTGTTATTCATATGGATTACATCAACACCCCTGGGTTCTGCGTACTTGGTAGGTGCACAGTGATGAAATCACCCGACCGTACTTAAGAAAAAAAACACGCAGAGCACTTCACAATGTTGGCAATCGCCTGGTGATGCTGGTTGTTATTGTAATCACCGGCGATAACGTGGTGAACTCAAGTTGTAAGTGTTCTTGTGGGTTGCTCTCCAACACAGCGGTGGTGCTGAAGTCGAAACTAATTGGGCGCCACGGTGGCGAGATGTTTACGACCTCGCCTGGTATTCAGGAGGTCGTGGGGTTGATGCCGACCCTGATGCCTACTATATATTTGAAGTTTTCGCGTCTCTCTCCCAGCTTAGAGACACACTTAAGCGGTTGTGCTTTCGCTAAGTTGTCCCCCACCTGAAGAAGGACGCTTGTGTTGCGCCCGAAACGTCGTGATTTAATTTATTTAAATTTTTTACTTAATTGACTTTACCGAAAAAACCAAAGAGTTCTAGATTTGAAGCTTTCGTGACTGCAAGGATTCATATTCTTAGGTTTTTTTGGTAAAGTCACGTAGGTAAAAAATTTAAATAAATAAAAGTAAAATAAAAATAAATAAAAATCACAACGTTTCGGAGGCAACTCACTTGATACAGCTATCGTGCTGTGACGGTTCCACCTGAAGACGGAAGCTTGTGTTGCCTCCGAAACGTCGTGATTTTTATTTTATTTTTATTTTACTTTTATAAATTTTAATTTATTTACCTACATGACTTCACCGAAAAAACCTAAGAATATGAAACCAAAGAGTATGGATTGTTACTTCTACTACTACTACTACGTACGGTGATTATTGACCCAGCAGCAGATTGACTCAACGAGTGGTCCAGCAGTGGGTCGAACGGAATTGACCCGGCAGTGCACGGATACACAGCTGTGCTGCCGATGAAAGTATTGTCGGTGTTTGAGATGAAGACAAAGATCTCCCCCGTGCTGTTGGGAGCAAGTGCTGCTAGCGGGGGGGGGGGGGGGGGGCAGCACCACGCCCGGCCGCCTTTGTCTCTCCCAGTGGCGATGTTTTACTACGTAGCGTGGCCAGGTACTCATTTGAGGCTGAGTCGACCTTGGGGAGGAAGCCCCGGACCCGGTTCGGATATAATCGTCACTCATAGGCAGAGTTTGACTTTTACATTTCAGGGGTGGGAGTTCGCTTTGAACCTCATATGAGGAATCGTGGGCGCACATAATTATTTTGTTTATTTTAAAATCTTAATTGTAAACTGCTGAAGACGAATTAATAAAGGTGCCCAGTTTGCGAGGGAGGGGAGGGGCATTGCCCCCCATGCCCCTCCCAAACTCCGCCCACGTCGTCATTGGTGCCGGTGGCCGTGAGCGGGAATCGAACCGGGACCTCCGCCGGGTTCGCAGCGCAGCGACGCTGAGGAGTTGAAGTCACGGCCACCTCCACCACCAACCCACCAACCCACCAACCCACCAACACACTCACCAACCCACCCACCCACCCCCACCAACCCCACCAACCCACCCACCAACTCACCCACCAACCAACCTCCCACCATCCCACCCACCAACCCACCAACCAACCCACCCACCCACCCCCACCAACCCACCCACCAACCCACCCACCCCCACCACCCACCTACCCCCACCAACCCACCTACCAACCCACCCACCAACCCACCAACCCACCTACCCCCCACCAACCCACCTACCAACCCACCCACCAACCAACCAACCCACCCACCCACCCAACCCTACCAACCCACCCACCTCCCACCAACCCACCCACCCACCCACCCTCTACCAACCCACCCACCTCCCACCAACCCACCCTCCACCAACCCACCCACCACCAACCCACCAACCCACCCACCACCAACCCCACCAACCCACACACCCCCCACCAACCCAACCACCCACCCCCACCAACCCACCCACCAACCCACTCACCCCCCACCAACCCACCCACCTCCCATCAACCCACACCCCCCACCAACCCACACACCCCCCACCACCAACCCACCCACCTCCCACCAACCCACCCACCTCCCACCAACCCACCCACCACCAACCCACCCACCCCCCACCAACCCACCCACCCTCACAAACCAAACTAAATGAGCTTTAGCCGGGCGTGCGCGTGCGCGAGACTAAGACGACGAAGAAGACGACGGAGTGAGAAAGTAAATAAATAAACGAAGCCAAACAACAAACGGGGGCGAAGTGAGATAGATAAATAATGAAAATATCCCCCTGCGTACACAAATAAAGACTGAGCGAGCGAGCGGGCCAATGAATGAACGAACGAGAGAGAAAGGCGGAGAGCGAGGAGAGGGAGCGAGATGCAGAAGAAGGTTCTACAAAAAAAGTGTGGGGGGTGGGGGGTGGGGGGGATGGAGCGCTCCCAGAGGCGCGACAGCAGACAGAGGCCACTTTGTGTTCGGATAGAATCGTGATGGACCCTGCCTGCCTGCCTGCTCCTCCTCCTCCCCGCGCCCTTTGTGTGGAGGTGACGACGCGTGAATCGAGAGGGGCTACGGACGGGAATGGGGTGGGTGGTGGTGGTGGTGAAGGGAGCGACGGCGGGGGGGGGGGGGGGCTGGGAGTAGGGGGAGGGAGAAGTAGTGGGGGGTGGTAAAGTCGGGGGGGTGGAGGGGGTCCCCACGTCGCCTTCTCTGGGTTCGTGTGTCCCCACCGCCGCCGATTCGTGAACTGCCTCGGCTTGCTGCGGAGTGCTCGTGAGGACGCCGCTGACGCAGTGGAGGAACTTGCGGGCTTATTGCCTCGGGGGCGGGGGGAGGGGGGGGAGCGGTGGCGCAGTGGTGAGCGCGCTGCGCTACGCACCCGGCGGGCCGAGTTCGATTACCGCTCGCGCCCATTAACACCGGTGACGATGATCTGAACCACAGGTCGACTCAGCCTCAATGGAGTGTCGGTGTGTAAACATCGCCACTGACCATTGACTGCTTTCTCAGTCAATGGTTAACCGGTTCTGGGCCTCCCCTAGGTCGACTCAGCCTCCAATGAGGCCGGTGTTGATTTGAGGTGCGGCTACTTAACAGCACCGGGGAGACAAAGGCGGCCGGGCGTGAGATGTTGACAACACCACCCCTCGTGTTCCGTGACGTCCTTCATCGGTGCCACTCGCGAACGGCGCTCGGCACCGAACATTCTGTTGAAATCAAATCCCAGACAATCAGGGCTCGAGTCGATAACATCGGCGGCGAGTCGTATTGCTCTCCCCTAGATCGGCTCAGCCATAAAACTGCTGCGGTGTGCAAACACAAAGGCGTGCCAGCCGACGTCCTTGACACCAGTTCCTACCGTGGAGGTTGGTCTGACCACTGAGCCATTGGCTCGTTATCGGTAAGATAAGCGCGCCACACTTCACTGCAGTTTTAGTACCTAGAAACCCCTTTCTCCCCCCACCCCAATTGCAAGGGTGAGGTGCAGGGAGTGGCTCGCACTGCTGCTCAATACAACATCTCAGCGAATAGCAATCGGTGCAAAAGCAACTGCTTTGCGAGAAGAATTGTTAGTTTTTTTATCTCTCTCTCTCGACAAACAGCGCACAAGCACCGTGAACGAAGCTGAAAACGTTTCAATCTTGATTTGAAGCTTTCGTGACTGCAGGAATCCATAACTCTTTGGTTCTTTCGGTAAAGTCACGTGGGTATAAAAAATTATAATAGCAGCAGTCCTCCTGCTGC